AGTTTGAGCCCTGCGAGTCCCAGGGACTCGCTGATCAGAAAAGTATGAGTCCCATTATGCATTTAGAGAGTCCCAAATTTCGAATTCTGAAGTGGTCTACTTATTCAATTGCATAAGATAATAACACAAACAACAACCATATACATTGATAATAGGTTTATTTCTTATAAACAAATGCTGCAAAAATTTTAATAATTCAGGCATACAAGATTTGCTGAGAAATAGGTTCTTATTTCATCCCATGGTTCAGTCTTTTGAGTTCATAAATTCTCCTCTCTTTACTCTGCTTCCAATGATGCAAGGATTTGTCAAAGTCAACTTATTATCGCAAAAAAAATTATGCCACTTTAACTGCTTCCTTTGTGATATCTCTGGAATAAACTTTCGCAACACTTGTTCGCAACACTTGTTTTAACGTTACACAACTTGGCAATCGTCTGCTTTCCACGAGGTGAAGGCCGATCTCGCCAATCTCATCTCGCGAGAACGCAAATCTCGTCACGCGAGATTACTTAACGTGAGATCAAAACAACAATGGCGGCCATTGTCAAACTGCGATCGTTGCTGGAAAAAAAGATTTACCATAGTTTTTTTTTTTGTTTGTTTTTTTTTTGACTGAGAAATTTCCTTGCTTCCCAAAAACGCACATTATTTGGATCTGTGCGTCTGGCGGGAAAATTATGCGTCTAGGACGCGGGACGCAGAGGTAACGAGGTGGCTGGAAAGGAGACATTTTAGACAGATACAATACATCTCTGTGCATCTTTGTGAACTTCTCACACAGCACACTCCACAACCATGGTGGCCATGTCTTGGACCACCAGCACAATCTGCGAAGTGTGAACCGAGTCGGGGCACTATGCGTATTTCAAATTGGCTTGACTGAATTTGAAAGTTAGCAGCCAAATACCATTGGGTTGGCATTGAAATGCACTTCACATGCTGTTGTTTCTCACCTCTTTCGGTACGAGTCCAAAAGCTTTGAGCCACACTTTCCTGAGCTCCGGAATTCAGAATCCAGAAAAGTGTTGTTTGTCGTCTTTAGATTGAGGCCCTCTGCTTCTTATGTAACGACGGTATGTCTTTATTGGGATATGTGACTAAAATATTTAAAACAAGACATAAAATAATCTTTGGTAGGTGAGGAGTGGTCTTTGGTTCGGAATGTTATCAGGGGCAATTGTGTTCGTTCAGTAGCCTTTGTGTACATTTTAACCACGGGTAAGAAGTGATAAAGGCAGTTCACCTGAATGTGAACTCTCACTGTGTGTTCAAGGTCTGGTGAGCTATGGTTTGTAGACCTGCCAATGCATAGTTTTAGTCAAGACAGTTCATCACCAAAAGCTTATAACCACAAAGGTTTGGAAGGGGGGAAACTATACTTTAGTTATATGAGCACCAGACATCATTTACAGTACCCTTATCCACAATTACATTGCAGTTTTTGGCTCATTTTAAAGTTACAGAGCAAAAATATCATGTGCTTTTCATTATCAGTATGTCTTCTTTGGATTGGGTTAGTCAATTGATGGTCATTCAAGAAAGCATAGATTCCCCACTTTTTAATGTGTAAGATCACTGAACAAACATTAATATCAAATAAAGATAACCCAGGTCAACATAAATGCCATTGTTAAATGGTGGCTTCATTTATTAAGGTAAAAAAAAAAAAAAAAAAAGCACAGACAAATCCGAACGGCATGAGGTAGCAGAGTCCATAAGGTGCTGAAACGTCTCCGCCACTCCCTTGAGGTCAAAATGCATCTGCAGTGATTCGACAAAGTCAAATGGATGGGACAACAGCAGTCTTTGGCACATCTTTCCGGTGTACTCGTACCTGATGGTAACATCACACCAGGTCCACCTTGGAAAAGATGGATCAGGGATCGTGGCTTTGTTTAGTCGCCGAGAATCGCCACACGGGTGCCAACCATTGTCAGTCGGGGGCGACCCGCGGGCTGTTAAAGCGAGACCCGATTCCGAGGCATTCCATGGTGATAAACCGGTGAGAGAAGTGCGCAATCGCTCACGCACGCAGCTCAGAGGGAATATTGCTTGTCGTGGTGATGTGGTGCTCCATACCGTGCTTAGATTGAAGACTTCTTGAAGTGGCAATTTAGGTTCTTGTAAATAAAGGAGGATCTCCTCTTCATACGCATTGCTTTCAATTTGTCTTGTCATACAGGAGAGCAGATACCTTTGATTTTAGTGCTTTGACGCACAGCCATTGCCAGCGGTTTGATGAATCTTACAAGTAGTAAGGGGCAAGAGTGGACGTCCTCGCGGTTTCCTCTTTGTAAAGTAAAGCTTTGTGATCCTGGTAGTGGTGACCATAGAGATAAAACCGGTGTGAATTAATGATCATGGCAATATTTTAAAAGTACTTTTTTTTAATTTAATTTTAGGGGCAGAATCAATAAAGGGTGTTCAGTCCTATGAATTACATCCATCTGAATGCGTAACTAAACATTGAGAGCAAGGAAAAATGGATCACTGTTTGTCTCAAATAAATCTCTGCCAAGGTGTTCTGTTGTCCCAGCCTGATTTGCCATGGCAACATCCGTGGAGCACTTCAGAGAGAAATCAATTCCTTTTTCACAGTACTAAGACGTCCACACTCGGGCCTGATTTATCCAGACATAGCCTTTAATCTCCTAATGTATTTGATTGGTCTGCTTTCCCTCTATGTAGTGTTTGTTAAAGACCTTGCTTCAATCCCCCTGGTTAAAAAAAAAAAAAGCCATTCCAGCTGTCTCAGAACATCCCAACACTTTCAAGTATGAATGCTGTCACACACGGACACGCAGCGCTCGGTGTGTGTTGGTCCTTCATGATGAGGCTCAGAATGCTCAATGAAATGCTAATGAGCTTAAACCCGGAAAAAAAAAGAATAACTATCTATACTCGATGTGTTTTCCGAAAAGACAGGAGACAAGAGACCTCTGCTTAAGTTATTATTATGCAACTGTAATATTGTACATCCTTGAAATACAAATGCAGAATATTCAAAGAAGATCACAGAAAGTACACGCCATTTAATTAACACTTGTGTCTTTAGGAATACGGAGTGTAAAGGATTCCAGCTCTCTCTGGATCAGGTCATGTCCAAGGCCTCTTTCCCTTTCAGCAGCAATACAGCGAGCAGTCTTACCGATTCCGGGAGAGCCAATAAAAGCAGAGTGTCCCGCCCCAAAACCAAAGCTAGACTTTCACCATATAGTCAGGTGAGTGTTTTATATTGCTATGCATTTATCAAGTTGCAAATGTGTTTTAAAAGTGTTCAAGGGAAAAAATTGGGCGCTCTATGACAGTTCAATGTTCAATATCTCAGTTGATTTTGCGTAACTTGCTCTTGGAATGAAACAGCAAAATTCACAACAGGTGTTTGATCCACTGACGAATACATTTCCTGGTTCTCTTTGAATTGGGGCGGCATGGTGACAGACTGGTTAGCATAAAGTCCAGTCCCTCAGAGCCCCTATCCAGGATTGTTATCAAACTTTTGCAAAGCTTGCTGGTCAGCTGATCATTTGAATCAGGTGTTAGGGGAGGGAGACATGTAAAACAGGCTAGAGAGGGGCTCTTGAGGACCGGACTTGGGCACATCTGTGTAAGCACATCCGCCTCACAGTTCAGGAGGTCGTGGGTTCATATCTCTTTGTGGAGTTTAACATGGTCTCCCCATGCTTGCATTGCATTCTTTTGCATTCCACATCACACACACACACACATATGAGAAAGAGAGAGAAAATGGGAGAGAGAGAGAGGATAATACCTTGCATGCCCTATTTATTATGTTCAGCGGATCAATTTTTAAACTAAGACAAAAAGAATTTGTCAGAGTTCATCGGTCATAGCATGTTTTGATGCCCCAACTGACTGTTAGGCTCCAGGGTTATAATAGTTTTGGATTTTTCATTATTGTTAGTGTTGATTTCATCCATCCATCCATTTTCAACACGGCTTATCCTGAAGAGGGTAGCGGGAGTTGCCGGAGCCTATCCCAGCTGACTTCGAGCGAAGGGCTGGTCCCCAGTTAGTCGCAGGGCACATATAGAGACAAACAATCATACACACCTGCATTCACACCGCCACTCAGTGGGAATCAAACCCACGCTGCCCGCACACAAGTCAGGCGAGTGTATCACTACACCATCAGCGACTAGTTTTTATTTTGTTTTTACTTTTGTTTTTTAGGGGGAGGGGTTTCGTTAATGTAAATTCATTTTTAGTTTTGTATTAGTTTTTCATTTTCAAAAATACTTTATTTTTTTATTATATTCTTTTATTCTTAGTTTTAGCTTGTTTTTTTTTAAACACATGGACTATTTGATGAGTGGAAGATCAAAAAAAAGAAACAGGTCACTCAGTATCATGTAATTAAGTAAACTCAAATTCTCAAATAACTGACCTTCCTTCTTCTGTAGCTACAGATCGACAGCAATACCAAAATTTGTGTGTTTAAAATGAACCTCAAAAGCTCATGTATGATCTCAATCGACAAAGATGAAAAGAGGCATTTTTGCTTACATTGTAGTTAGTTTTAGAAAAATAACATGTCCACTCAGTTAGTTTTCATTTTTGAAAAAGTATTTTTGTTTTTATTTTATTTAATTCACAATAGTTTTTTTTTCAAATTTAGTTGATGTTGTTGTTTGTTTTTTTTTGTTAACTTTAATAACCTTGCTAGGCTCACAGAGGTCTTGTGGGGTGCTTGAAATTCTTCTTCCAACATCACACAACTTTAATCAGTTTTTTTTATTTTCCATTGTAACACTTTGACCACTATCATTGTTTTTGTTTGTTTGTTTCTCACCCCAGTATCCAAGTTTTCAGGCAGAGCGGTCGGATTCAGATCAGGATAGTCCCTGGAGGGGAAGCCCTCTGACTGACACAACCTCCCCACAGATGCAGGAGACGAATGAAGGCACGGACGCCTCCTGCGTTTACAAACACTTCACTGATCCTGGTCCGCTGTGCTACAGTGTGTCTGAAGAGCAGCATCACAGCGGTGACGGTCACAAACACGTCCATGTGCATGCTCAAGGTCAAAGTTGTGAGCGGGGTCGGTGTGAGGCAGGGCGATATTTTCTTGGAGCGCCTCCTCCCAGCAGGGACACATGGTGGAGCACAACGAGGGCAATTTTGCCCTTAAGCAAAGTTTCACTGGAGAACCGTGAAGGATGTGATGGCAGCATGCCACATATTACGGCAGTCCACAGTTATGATGGTAAGAGCTACACTCTAACTTGTATTACAGTTTAAATACACTGAAACCTCAACGGTTGAATGCAGTCTATTCCGTGATGCTGGTGGATATCAGATTTGTTCATATTAAAAATAAATCAATAAATAAATAAAATAGAACCAACAGTTTAAGTAATTCACATTATAACATCAGTTACTGCCATGCAAGTTACATTGACAGCAATTCCTTGCGTGGAATGAAATTTGTCGCTCCATTTGTTTAAAAATAAATAAATAAATACCGGTAAATGCAAACGAGATGGCATGAGCGGAAAATTAAATAAAACTCGACAGACTAATTAGGGTGGCGCATCTCTCCAATTAAAGATGATTAGATATGCATCTTGATACATGGGCTATGATGTAAATCAAGAACGATACATTTTCAAGTGAAGCGATTCGATTTGGTTCAATTCACTGGAATTACCTTCCAATTCGAAATGCGTCGACTGTAGTTTTTGTATGGTGTACTTCTTGAGATTGGTCTTGGTCATTTTTTTAAAGGTCTTTTTGGAATCAAAGGCATTTTTACTCGGTCTTGTTTCGGTCTCAGACAAGGTGGACTCATGATTTTTGAACAAGACAGGAGGGAGGGAGGGAGAGGGATAGAGAGAGAAAGAGAGAGAGAGAGAGAGAGAGAGACTGTGTGTTTCACTGTCTTACTTTAAAACTAATGTCATTCTACATACTACATAAATTTTAGCCGCTACGTAGCTGTATAAGCCTTTTTTTATATGTATATTTTAAAGATTGAAACCAACATAGTAACAGCCCAGTGTATGAAAAGCTGCTCTGTACGAAGCAGTGTGCTACATTTCTTGAACTTTACACTGTCCAAAAACAATTCTTTTTTATTTATTTATTTATTTATTTTATCATGTTTGTTTAAGGTCGGAATCAATGGGATGAGGACAGTGTGGTGAGCTCTCCAGATCGAGGTTCCACCAGTGACTCAGGAGATCGCCAGCGAACTGACCAGTTCAGGTTCAGCCCGCAGGAAAGCAGCAAAATGGAAACACTTATACGGGCAACACAGCATATGATTAAGGAGGAAGAAAGTCGACTTCAGCTACGAAAGGTTCATCCAGACACTCCACTGGGGCAGGCCAACGGACTATTGAACAGCACCGGCCTTTGCTGTACCTCAGAGTACACTCAAAGGCCAATACAGGCTGTGGTGTGTCGCGGTTTGAGTCACGTGATTAGCCCGGTGCACAGCCCCGCCCACTTCTCAAGGCTAAGTCCAGGGTCGGAAAGCCTGAAAAAGTCCAAAGACTACCTCCAGACAGACATGGGCCCGCGTTCTTTACAATTACGTTACCCGTTTGTTCGACCAGGCCCATGTTCAGATTCTCCCACCCCGGCCCCAGCTCTGTACCCGCCTCACACCCATTTTCGGCCATACTTGGAGAAGCATACGCCGTACCCCCGAACAGGCTATGCTCTTGAGCACCTCTACGACCAGGAGAGCCTCCGAGGCTACTGCACTTCTGCGAGCACGGATATGACCCCTCACCTCCGCATGCCGGCAGAACAGACACCCGGACACAAAGGCACCTCTGTCATTATCACCAATGGCAGCTAACAATCATTTTACACATGCACTGGGACTGATGTCAATAAGCCCCCGTGACTGGCCGGTTAGCCCCCATTAAACATCACTATTTTGATTCAGGCCCCACTAAATGACTTTTGAGTACATTATTTGTAACGTTTCAGAGTTAAGGTTTAAAACACTTAACCCGATATTACCTAAGGAGACTTGCCTAAGAGTAATTGTCATGATAATATTCAATACAGTATGCCAATAACAAGAACTCGTACGTGACTGTTAGACCACACTTTTGAACCCCGCTGCACACCGAGTGACACGACCCGATGCCAATGAACTGGAGCACAGTGTGAGAATCTGAAAGTAATTTTCATCATTGGCAGAACATTGGCAACTAGTTTTGCCACGATTCGAAATTCAAATTGCCGATGAATCGCGTTGCAATGTCACAGATTTAATGGTCAAAAATTCCACTTTGTATCACATGATCTAGAACCCCCAAAATGACATTTCCAGGTCTGAAGCGACAACCAGCAGGCCACCACACAGCTGTACCATTACAGTAAATGCAATATATATGTGGCTGAAAAGCAAAGCGTGGAGAGTATCTGTCGCTTAAAGTGCAGCCAATACCCTCTCAAACATCCGCACCCTGTCTTCTGTTGTTTGCATTTCCTCTCTTTGTATTATGTTATATACGGTAGCTGCGGCGTTCAGGCAATCAGTTTCTTCCTTGACAATCGCATCATGTTATTTGTGGTTTAGAAGAAATAATACAGTACTGTATTTTATGTGGAGCTTCACACCACCACAGCACACAGTTTTCCGTTGCAACGTGTCAGCAGATGATTAGGAAGGGCGTAAGTAGTTTGCAAATTTTCAGTTCAGTTGTGCTCGGTCACATCACTCAGTGTGCGGCCCTAATAAAGATTTAATGGCCATTTTTTTGCACCGAGCTTCAAACTGTCCTTCAAGTACAGTACATCACTGACCCATAAATAGTCATACATATGATCTTTTCTTTTTTTTTTCCTCAGATACTCTACTGCTAAATCAAAGATGTAAAACTATTTGGTTTCTAGTCTACTGGACTCGAAAGTTCACATTTTTCAGTGAATTTTGTCTTTTTTTGGTTGGGGGATGAAGGGATTGGTTTGTGCAAACCATGCCAGTGAATTTACAAGTTCACTCATGATCAACCCACAACTAAAATGCCGAAGTATGGAACTGAACTAACAACATTAACAAAAAACATCCATCCATCCATTTTCTGATCCTCTTCTCCTCACAAGGGTCGCAGCCATGCTGGAGCCTATCGCAGCTTTCTTTGGGCAGTAGGCGGGGGACACCCTGAATTGATTGCCAGCCAGTGCGCTGAAAATGCACCTGGTTCATTGGTCAGCTGTCAATCACTTGCCACTACTTCTAAAATCTTTCTTAGGCCTGCGCATCTCCACATGTTAACCGCCAAAAAACATCTGCTGGAAGCTTCTGGTAGCTGGAATATGTCCCACTGAGTTGTTTCATTGCTTTCCTGCTCCCTGACGAGAAGCTGTAGCCACCAACTAGCTTGCGAATGAACACGGCCCACGGAGCCGCCGCCACGGACAGGAAGCGGGCGACTCCGCTGCTTCACCTCGCTTGGCGTTGTATCCGTGTGGAGGTCCACATAATGAAGATGCTTCAGGAAAAATCAAACTGTCATGAACACAGGGGCACTCACCTTTCAACCTGTGGCTCACGCGATATGATAGAAATTTGAGCACATAGAGTACTGCTTTACATAGAGTATCGCTTTGCATAACACAAAATTAAGTTTTTAGAGAACAACACCAAACTATTTGGTAAATTGTAGTTTCCAAGGAATTTGCGTTTTCAAGGTGTTGACATTGTTAGCTTGCTAACTGTGCACTGTAGTGGTAGAAATTAGCCTCTCTAGAGGGTAACGGGGGACTCATGCCGGTTTCCTAACTACATGACTGGGCGGTTCAAATTCTTATACAGTGAGGGAGGGGTGACTCATGCCAGATTGCCAAGTGCGACATTGGGCACCATTTGAGCCACGCTGCAAAATGCCAAAAACTGAAATGATGAAAAAACATTTTAATGCTCCATCTCCACAATTCACTACCGGTCCTACGGCGTTGTCAGCGTTTGCACATATTTTCAGCAATTATCCTCGAACATGTTTAATATATTTTGGGTGAGGGAAAAAAGACCCATACTTCATATTATTGTGTCCTTCAACATGTCCGAACACATATTTCCAATCGCTCTCATAGTTGCACAATCAATTGTCAGAGTAAATACAGTCTAATGACACAGATGGGACTGTGTCAATGCTTCATCCTCTTTTCCATGTGTGCAACTCTTCACTTCAGCTTTGCAAAATGTTGAGCTGTTCTTGTTTATCAAAGCTTTCGGTTGAGGTGAAATAAAACAGTTGGATGTGGTGCACTTTGGAGTGATGCACATGAAACGTCTCATGCTATATCTGTCACGGACTAATCATGAAAATCCAAGATGTTTTTCTAGCTGTTTTTGCTTCTCTCACAGAGGTATTATTTAATGACCTTTAATCACCTACATCGATGACGCAAATGGATGGCAAGTAATAACCACTCGAACTCATTATTCTAATCAGCCCACAAAATGTTTGTAGCTTCATAAATGTGGATGAAATTCAGGACTGACATGAAAACAAAACTACCAAAAATGTACACAAGGAAACTAATGAATTGTTTCCATACTAGCCCTTTATTAATTACTGCAGGGAATTCATATTGCTGGTGTCGGGCGCAGTCCATGTACATCCAAAATCATCCCTTTTCAGGAGATCCCTAAATCGGCATATCTGATTAAATATCAAATATAGCTTCATGATAGAAGACCCAGGCAGCAACCATATTGGTCCGACATAGTCTCGTTTATATCCACACGATTTTTTCGAAACTAACACTATTATGAGCTAAATTACGTGATATACTGTGTGTGTGTGTGTGTGTGTGTGTGTGTGTGTGTGTGTGTGTGTGTGTGTGTGTGTGTGTTTCTTTAAATATATATCTTCAAATAAAATTGCAGAGATTAATTATGCTTTGTTTTTGGACATATTCACATGCACCCCATATCAATTAATCACACGTTGCAAGCCCAGTACACTGTAAATTTCATAGAGTAGATTTTATTCTAAAAAGACTATATTTTGGTCCCTGACTAAACAGAGTAAAATTTGAGAAATTCTGAATATTCACACTCCCATCTGAGCCATGCCGCTTCTTCTGAGACACCAGCAACATACTAAGTCACACTCGGAGTGTTTTTGCTCAGGTGGTAGTGGCCATCCCCCAACCTGACGGACGTTGGTCCATTCCTCAGTCCCTAAGTCACTTTTTATAATAAATGAATAGTATGCAAGTAAAACGCACTCACAAACTCTCCTTTGAAAATATGAATAGAATATCAGATTTTTTTAAGAAGTTGCTGTTTCCAGGTAAATATCACTCCATTTTTTTTCAGTGTAAAATGTTACTTTGTTTACACAAAGACCAAATATAGTCTTTTTTGAGTAAAACTTACTCTATGAAACTTTTGATACATAAATATAGTAATCAGTGTAAATCAGTCAACCTGCTATCATACAACAAAATTAGATATTTATTATATGCATATTTTATAATTATCTAGTCAAGGAAATTTTAAAGGAGATTCATGATCACATGCATCGCTCAAAATACCAGTCATAGTTTAAGCAGCGCAGTATGCTTGCAACTGAATTTGATGATTTTCTTTTTTCAGACCGAAAGCGTCATTAAAATGTGCAGGGATTGCGTGAAGCAGCACTGGCAACTAAAAAGCTGATGAAAATCAATGCAGCAGAATTCTCCATTAAGCCTGATGATGCGTGCCTATGTGGAGGTAAGAGATGGAGCCTCCTCATCAGCCTGATGGACGTTTGCTGTTTGCCTTCGTCATCCCAAGCTGATCTGCTGCTCCACTTTCCCCTGGGTGCTTCCCCCTTTACTTCCACATTTAAAGCTTTGCACCCAGATAGTGTCCTCTCTTCTCCGATCCAAGCAAGCTTTTCACTCACTAACCCTTGAGGCTGACGCAACTGCTTCACTATTTCAAGTGTGTAACCAAGAGACCAGCAAAGTGCAGCGGATATGGTTCAAACTCCTAGCCCGTGCTTATGTCGATTTAATTTACACTTGTATACACTCAAAGTAAAAACATATCACTAACGCTAATTTGATGGAAATATAACCTCAATTGTGCAAAAATACGCATTTTGCAAAGGTTTTCACAGCAAAGGAGAATGGATCTGATACTACTTGAGTGGCGGTCAGGTTCCTGCGGCAGATGGAAATCATTTGCGTTTGCTGCAACGTTTTGAATGAATCAATCCCATCTAACGGGTAAGAGGCCAGCATTTCAGCGCAGACATTCAACAACAATTTTATTCTGTTGCATTTGTGGCAACAGGCGTATATAGTGGTTTATTGTACCTTTTGCCATAATGGAAGAAAATGTTCTATGATGGCAAAAGTTCTCTCTCGTCTCATCTATCCCGTAACCCCTGAGGGTCGTTGGGGCACCACAGACGATCTGCTGACGAGCTCTCTCCATCCTTCTCTGTCTTCGGCAGCTCTCATTGCCTCATTGAGTTTCAAGTGAGTCCATTCTATGATGTTATCTTGCAGAAGTTCTACCTATTACAATACTTGCATAGATAAATTAATAACAATAAAAAGTACTTTTTGGACAAATGACATGAAATTGTATAATTGCCTGTGGCACCCCTGATCATCTCTGTACCATGGCATTGAGGTTGGCAATCACTGTGAAGAAGAGGAAGAAAAAAAAAAAATCACCACGTAAATGACCGAAAATGGAATTAACTTTTTAAAGACAATTTAATCATCATAAATAATACCGAGACACTCTTGTTAATAGGACTACAGGGAGAACAAGCAAAACAAGTAGAACAACTACATCTAATTGTGACTTGCTTTGTTGTGGTTGAATTTTTTTAAAAAAAATGGTCTGAGTCGTTCCTGAATGTGCCCTGAGATCATTCTCTTGGTCCTCTGCTCTTAACACATCCCCACCCGCTCCTCAGCATCTCCCCCACACTGCAGCGCCTATCTGCAGCTATACCAGTTCTGGCCCCTGTCTAATTGGGGTTCCATGAGGTTAGCGTCAGCTATCATTTGTTTTGTAAGGAATTCCACTCACTCTGGCATCAATTTCATTGACAAATAACACATGGGTGCTTTTCTGACCTCTAAGAACAACGAACATGCATGCGGCTACCAAATGGAAAAAAGAAATCCTCGGATTACCGGTTCAATGGTAGAACTTGAATACATGATTGGAAACTACCTGCCGTCTTGACAACTGCAACTCTCTTCTGTTTGGTGTCCACCATAAATTACAGCGTCTCCAGAAGCCCACAGCTCCCTCCCATCCACCACATCGCTCTGGTCCAGCAGCAACACCACTGGCTCCCAGTCCAACACCACATCCAATGACACTTAAAAGAATATTACTGCAATTATTAGTAATGCCCTTAATATTTTAGATATGAGAAAAGAATTATTATTATCATGTACTGTACTATACAAAAGAGATAACGCTCATGAAATAGAATAGAATAAGAATATCATGGGTCTTTTTGTCTCTGTGTAGATGAGGCTCGGCTGTGAAAGAGGAGGATGTCTTTTTGTATTGATCCCTGATAAGAAGACAACAGACTTCAATGTTAGTTTTTCGGATTATCTCCGTTCTCATTCCTTGC